CATCGATGTCTCTCTCTCTCTCTCTCCCTCCCCCTTCCTCTCTCTCTAAAGTCAATAAAAACATTAAAAAAAATACACATGACAGGAGTGAAATTTATTCTTGGGAAAAACAAAGTCCCACCCTCCCCCCACAGTCCAGGACGGGTCCCCTGGGGGCCTCCACAGAGTCATTTCTCTCGCCTGGCCCCTACTTCCGTCAGTGCCCATTACGATGCCGCTACTTGGGTGAGGGGCTCCTCCAGGTACTGCACCAAGGCCTGGGCCTGCGAGAGGGGAGGAGAAGTCAGTGCCACACCCGGCCTGGGCCTGCGTGCCCCTCGCCCCACGCCATGGACTGGGTGACACGGGGACATTAGGAAGGTGGTGGGGATGGGAGTGGTGACGAAGAACAGAGGCCAGGCCTGGGGTCGGAGAGGGATGGGCACATACACACCTTCGCCTTGAGCATTCCGAAGCCAACAGTCTCCTTGGCATACATACACAGCAGAAGGTTGGCCACTCGGGTGATGGCTACGCGGCCCTCCTGGAGGGGTGATATCGTAGGGTGTGATGTTCTGCTTGGCACCCTCAGCTCCCTCTCTCCTCAAGGAGTCCTCTTGAGAGAGACTGTATCCTCCTTCCATGCCCTGGGCACAGCCCTGGCCATGGGGTCCTACACTCAGATGCCAGCCTTAGCGCAGGACCTACTGACCAAGTTACCCTGGGAAACTCGGTCTCTCAGAAACTCAGATTCTCTTCCTGTAACCAGTGGGGGAAGGTGTTAGTGCACGGGAAGGAGTTTGGGATCTGCAAAGGGCTATCCAGAGGGGTGATGTCATTATGATGGGTTCACCCCCAAGACACTGTAAGGGGCTTGAAAGCGGTCACCCAACGTATTTTCCCTCTTTCCCCATGATAATGTTTCTGACTGTAGGTTTGACCCCAGTATTAGATCAACTAAGAAGGGTGATCAATATTAAAAGAAAAAGGAAGCCTGGCCGGCGTGGTTCAGTGGTGGAGGGTTGACCTCTGAAGCAGGAGGTCACGGTTCCATTCCTGGTCAGGGCATAGGCCTCCGTTTTGGGCTTGACCCCCAGTGTGGGGCATGCAGGAGGCATCCAGTCTATGATTCTCTCTCATCATTGATGTCTCTCTCTCTCTCTCTTCCTCTTCCTTCCTCTCTGAATTAAATAAAGATAGGTATTTTAAAAAGAAAGAAAAAGGAAAGTAGAGAAATTAAGTGCATTGCATGTAGTAAGGGAAGTACTGTTTCATGCAACTTTTGTTTTTGTGGGCATACTAGTATGTGTGTACCAGGCTCTGACTTAAAATGTGTTTCTTATGGCTGGGTTGTGGTCACATGTTTAAAAGCGATTGCCTTGCCCTAACCGGTTTGGCTCAGTGGATAGAGCGTCGGCCTGTGGACTCAAGGGTCCCGGGTTCGATTCCAGTCAAGGGCATGTACCTTGGTTGCGGGCACATCCCCAGTGGGAAGTGTGCAGGAGGCAGCGGATCGATGTTTCTCTCTACTCGATGTTTCTAACTCTCTATCCTTTTCCCTTCCTCTCTGTAAAGAAATCAATAAAATATATTTTAAAAAAATAAAAGCGACTGCCTTATAGCACCAGCTCTAGCACAGGTGCCAGTAGGAGTCATTAGTTGAACTGAAATGCATCCTTGGTTGGGCAGTGGGTGAGAAAGAGGTAGGCAGCTGAGCTACAGTGCAAATCCTTCACTCTCGGGGCCTTTTCAATTTGGTTCAGCTCACTCTCACTAGGTAACCATTGCGTGCTGGGAATCAGGTGCTGCACCCCTGCTTTTCAATGGCCTCATCTCCTAATAACCTCTCCTATTCTCATGCCACTCCACCCACATCAACCTTGTTGATCCTTCACCCGGCACCATTTTGCCTCACGGTTTTTGCACCTGCTGTTCTATCAGAAATGTTTTCCCCCAGACAGTCACATGGCTTGCCAACTTCCTTCAAATCTATGGTAAAACGTCACCTTTTCAGTGAGATTGTCCCTGGCTCATGTCCCCCTCTATCTCACTTCCTTGCTTTATTTTTCCCCCATAGCATTTTCAATACCTAATGGACGGCACACTTTTTAAACTGACATTATTTTACCAAACATATTTACAAACTTATTTTACAAAGCGTACACATTTCACTTATTTTAAGACATGTCAAACTGGGAGCTGCCTTAGGGCTGCAGATTTTGTCTGTCCTCTTTGCTACTTTTCCCCCGGTCCCGAGAACACTGCAGGGACCTAAATATTTGTTGATGGAACAAAAGGGATTCATAGTTTCTGTTTCCAAGAAGCTCACAACCTAATGGCCACTTCCCTTTTCTGGACATCAAAACCTTTCTCTGTAAAATGAAGGGATTGGACAAGGGTTCGGAGACTCTCCGGTGGTTCTGTAAGTCAGTGAATCCGGGATGCCCACACTTTGTGTGTACCTCCCTCTACAGTTCCTATCTCCACACTTATTTGATCTTCACAGCCACCCTGTGAGCAGTGGATTTCTGGCTGCATTTTTAAACTAATGTTTGCTAAATGCATCCCAGGTATGAGCCAAGGAGAACATGGCAGGTAACCACACCATACTGCGTCTAACTCACTGACAAGTTCTAGAGCAGGAGAGGAACTGCAGAGAAGGGCTAGACATAGGTGGGGATCCAGCCTGCCTTTTGGTGGTGGTGGTGGTGGTGGTGGGGGGGGGGTGGATTACTGTTTCCTCCTTAGAGTTTAGGTAAGGAAGGGAGGCTCAGAGAGGTTAAATAACTTATGCAAAGGTCCTCGGATGGTAAGCGGCTGGCTGAGACCACAACTCCAGGTAGATGCTGGACCGTGGGCTCCTTCCTCACCACTTGATGCATAAGATCCTGCCTATTACAAAAGCTGCTGGCGCTAAATCTTAGCAATCCTCCATAGATCCCAGCCATCCAGCATGGGGTACCGGTCACCCCCTGGGGATCCCCTTTGGGGACAGAGGAAGTGGCTCCTCTCTCCATACCATGCAGTCCATGAGGATGAATTTGAGATTGTCTTCATTAAACGCTTGGTTCCCGTTGCGGTCGTAAGCGGCCCAGATGTTGCTGGCGATGGCTGCGGTGACCCGCGCGTCGGTATCCCCGTAGCCAGAGTAGGCCAGCAGAGATCCCTCGTTATTCAGCAGCCTGGCGAGGGGCAGGGAGGGAGAGCGACGTGCTCAGCATGGGGAGTAAAAGCCTCGGGTTCCCATCACAGCCCCCGCCACGGACGCTTCTACAAAGCAAGGGTCTGGGCTGAGTGTGTTCTGGAACGCGACCCGAGCACCCAGCATGTCAAGTTCCATTTTCCTGAGGGGCCCTCCTGCCCTAGCTGCTGCCCTTTCCCTTCCCCGACATCCTTCCCCATCCCTCCCTCAGAGAGCCGCGCGCTGCCCCGCTCCTGTGCTCGCCACTAGGTCCTCGGTCCACACTCACAAGGTGCTCTGGACACCTCCAGTGTTGGCTTGGCTCAGCACCTGGGTCAGAGCCTTGGGACGCAGCATGCCTGCGATTCCTAAGCCGGGACTTTTGCACCAAGACCCTCCGAATTGCCTCCTGTGGGGCTCCGCCAGCCGCTTCCGGTACTGCCCTACGCCAAAGCGCTCTGGGAATTGTAGTTCCCCGGCCTGACTTTATAGTTCTGGGTCAACCCCGCCCCGCCGCGGGGGCCACTGGGAATTGTAGTTCCTTGAGGCCTCGCGAGGCACCCTGGGAACTATAGTTCGCCTTTCGGCTGAGACCGAGTGGTTATGGGGGACGCGGGTGGAGGGGGGAATTTGAGAGCGGGAGTGAAAGGACAGTGGCGGTATTGGAAGAACATGGAACTCCTTCGGGGAGCGAGAAGTTATCGTGTTCGCTTAGTAATCTTCGATTCAGTAATTTTTAAAAAAAAAAATCCCTATATTGGTCAGGCACACCTTTGGTTATTTTCAAAGTAATTTTCTACGTTGTGCACAATTCTGCGAGGTGGGATACGTGCTATTGAGGAAACCAAGACTCGGGAAGGTCACACAGGCAAAGCCCTGACCCTGGAACCGAACTTCATAGAGTTCATTCGGGCCGCGACCCCGGGGGAAGGAAGGCCGCCCTCGAGAGGAGGTTCATGGTGGCCGCGCACAGGCGGAGAAGTTCGGCCTCCGGGCGGCGGAGGCCCCGGCCTAGGAAGGACTTGGGTTTCCCGCGGGCGACGAGCTTTCGCCGGGAACGGAGAGGAGGAGGCCACAGAGACCCCTTTGTCCGCAGCGGGGACGACCTGCCGCGGGGGCAGGGGCAGCTCCGGGGCGGAGGGGAC